GTACAGTTTTGGCAGAACAATATACAAACCAAAAAGGTAAATGTGAAGGTCAAAACAGATTTGACAGAGCAAAAGGTCCAACACAGGGTTTCTATGAGGAGATCTCAGTTATGCTGTAGCTGCCAACGTCTGTCTTGTAATCTGTTAACCAAATTTCTTTCTAATAAAGAGATACCACAACGACTCCTAAGTTGTATCTATTTGACAACATTAGGTCGTTTGAGTTGTGTTGTGACATTAATTGAGTCTTTTTGCAGAAATACATTTTTACAGTAGTTCACTGCTCAACTGGTAATATCAGAAAAATAGTGTCCTGCACTTCTACACCACAGTACATAATGCTAAAGTGAGTGTGGCTGCTTGGATTCTCCAACTATCCCTGGTCCACAGCATCAACAACATCTCCAAATTGATTACTAGATTACTAGAAATGTAAGTCCTACTATGTTTTTGTTAGTTTGCATTGTTATTGAACTACGCTAAGGTGTCTGTCTCAGTCTGAGGGTCTAGACTATAGCACAATGAACCTTAAAATACATTTCACACATGGACAACCAAGATGGCTAATGAGGATTTCCTCGTTATACCATTGTAAGATTTGTCTGCAAGGGTTGTGCTTACAATTAGTTACACTGTCACCCTATGAATATCTAATAATTCAATATATCCTACAAAAAAGCTCTAATAATTTAAAAGCAATTAATTTCTTTATGCATTCAATAAAAATGAATGACTTAAACATACTGAAATGTAAATGTCAGAATTTCTCCTATTTATTTATTTCTACTGCAGATGAATATAGTCACATAATCTGATAGAAGCAACTCATCTGCTGTGGACATCAAAGAGTCAAAAACATTGCTGCCAGAACACCCGTTACACAATAAGAGACAAAGTAATGATGTTTTTTGTATGATAAGAAATGAGAAATCCGCTCATTAACCTTCCCTTTTTTTCAGAATATGGAAAAAATAGTGATTAAAGTACTTAAAATGGAGCCCTTAGAAGACTGCAGTAGTTTCTGGATGACATTTTGCTAATGTTCATATGATGCTTGAGGGACAAACTACTGCCTGATTCAACCAGTTCACAGTGTTTGTGGATCGTCATCAATCTGAATGCATTAAATGACATCACTACACATGCACAGTGCATATGGAGTCAGAGTCAATAAAATAATTTACGTATCAAACAGTGTTATACTGCACTCAAGACAAAAAGTGTATCCAAAATATGTGCAAAACTACAATTTATTTAAACTTTTTTTGTATTTACTACTAACATTTAAAATGTCACATATAATGTACCGGTGGTTTAAACCAGCAGATTTCAATGCAGGCCTAGAGCCCATCTAAGCTGAAAAACATTGTGTATGGATGGGATGTTGCTCTGTCAGGATTTCAGGAAAGCAAAGCATTATGGGAAAGCAGAACAAAAAAAATGATGTGAACTGACCCTGTATCACTTGTGTCACATAAAATTAGTACATGCAAGGAAGTTACAGTGTCTGCACTTTCTGCATGTGTGTCCATAACTGCTGCACATGTTTAAATGTCCTCTGTATGATTCACTGTAACCTCCATAACTGAGCAGGCTGGTCAAATGTCTGCATCAAGAGGCAAAAGAACCACAGGGATCACACCACCTGTGAATCTGAAAACAGCACAGCTACTGTAGCAATGTAACCTTGACACTGTAATTCAGGATGTCCCCAAGCTGAGTGATGACATGTCACCCACTTTCACCTATTCGATTTTACTGCCACCACACCCACCATCAACACTGTTTCTTTGTCACGTGCTCTCTTTGGCTCACGTGCTCTGCCTCTTTGACCTCCCCATCCCTCCCCCACTTCTCCACAAACAGCTCTCGATCACCTCCACTCACCTGTTCTATCTTGGCCAGCCATTCTTTATTGCGGGCCAGTTCTGCCATAAAGGCCTGGTGCTTCAGCCACTTCCTGTGTAGCTTTTGAGCTTCATCCCGCGCTGTGTCTCGGGCCATAAGCATCTTCTCTTCCACCCGCTGTCCCAATCACTGAACTAGAGGAGACAAAAATAGCCACTATCAGGAGCCCAATGCTCGAGCCAGCCCTTCTTCCCCCCTTTTCCACAGGACGTCCTGCCTACCTCCTCTACGCAAGAGCCACCCGCTCTGCTCTGCAGGGGCCTAGGTACCTGTGCTGTCACCACCCACCCCAGCCCCCACCAGGCACACTTTTCTGGGAAAAAAAATCAAGATAAGCACCTCAGCAGCAATGGTAGCAATGGAAACACTCAAGCCCTTCCTTCGGGTTGCCCCTGGGTCCTCATGCCCTACCAATTCATGGTGTTGCGGTCCTGATGCTGCAGTGCCTGCTAGCCAGTCTCAGAGATGGCAAAAACAACCGGCTAAAAAGAAGAAATGCGCCAATTACAACACTGGTAAAGAATGACACGCACATCCAAGATTCCTCGCAGGTCGCGTGTTATCGTCTAGCTCCAAATGTCAGTTACAATCCAACCATCAGTGATGTGTGTGTAGCATAGCAGAATCCTTCAGCCGGGGCAAAACCTGACCATCCACCACTCGCCAGTCCCGGTCAATCTGTAGTCCTGTCTAATGATGCTGTAGACACAAGGAGGAGGAAGAGTTGGAGTGGGAGGAGCAGGGTGAATGGGATGCAGAGGCAGTGCAGAGGAGGCCGGATAACATAAGGTGTCCGCTCTTGAAACGCATCGTTCCTACCGCTGCAAAGATGCACACGCAGGCTGGTGTGAGATAGTCCACTATTTTCTCTCCTCACTTCTCCTTCCTCAAGTCCCTGAACAGCTCAGCCGTGGTTGGTGCATGCTGCTGCAGTCCTTGCCTCTCAGCTACGCTTCTGTGTGTGTGCGTGCGTGAATGAGTGTGTGTGTGTGTGTGAGTGTCTGTGCAATCACAATCAGCACTGCAGTGCCGGAGCAGAGAGAGAGAGGGAGAGAGAGCCAGAACGAGAGAGAGGGAGGAGGAGAGGGAGGAGGAAAGGGAGACAGTGAGAGGAAATGGAGAAAGAGGGAGCGCCAGAGCAAAAAAAAAAAAAAAAAAGCATGGGAGAGCGAGTCAAAAGAGGAAAAAGATGATGTTAGTGGGGGGGAGAGGTGAAACAGAAAGAAGAGAGAGCCTGCGTCATCCCTCTGTGTCACCAGGGACATTTCTCTGCACTAGAAATGACTGCACTCGGAGCGGGAGCAGGGTTTGGGAAGGAGGGGGGAGGTGTCGTTTTAAAACAGCTGAATGAGAGGAAAGGAAGACGCATGCACACATGGTCCACGGTGCAGCTGACTGATTCCCATCACTGTTCATTTACTATCTGCAAGAGCACCTACATGCAAAACTTCCCCTGCAAATATGTCATTTAAATGCAAAGGGTTCTTAAGTTAATATCACAGCCCCAGCTCTGAATTATAGATAGCTACATGCTATCACAATTACAGTTCATCTTTGCTGCAGCATTAGATTTCTTTTTAATGTTATTTAAAGATACCATTTTTGTCCGACCGAATCACCGTGGCATTCAGTGGCATTTAAAGTTTCATGAGTGGAGGCTGAACTGGAGCACTGCCCCGATCTACCAAGTTCTGTGGTTCTGCTGGCATTTTGTTTTTGTGTTTAGTTCAATGGATTGTCTTCATTTTCTTGAACCAACTGACCGGGAATATTTCATAACTAATAAATACTACAACACAGTATATGAGGACAAGAACCAACGAACCAATGAAGCCAACTTCATCATATTTCAGCAGACCACACAAAATTAGAAGTACTTTACTTGTGAAACTTGCATTTACAAACCTTACTGTTGTTAAGATTTGCAGCATTATAAAACATGAATAAGTTAGACTATTGTTCTAAGTGTACTAACAGCTGGTGATGTAGTGAATTTGAATTCAAGAATTTAAAACTTTAACCCATTTTGGATTAGGTCGCATGTCTTTGATATCAAATATCAAAGAGGGCTGACATAATGATTATGAAAAAGTCTGCAAGGGAAAAAATCGATACAGCATAGTATCGCAGTATTTTGCATGGCAATATGACTGCAATCGAATTGTTGAAGGTTTGCAAATAACTACAGTCTAATTTATAAATCCAGACAGATTGCCAACAATCAACAGTCTGAATGAGGTTTTGTCAATGAGCACTAGTCGCAGAACTTAACCTAACTGACTGCTAACTGGTAATAATTAAATGTGAACTTCTGTCTATGCAGACAGCAACATTTAAGCAACATTTGGTGATTTAACACAGCTAATTGCTGTATTATCTGAAACACATTGCATGTAATTGCCAACTTGACCCCATTTAATTGCAGACAGATATCAGACTGATAGCAGACTGACTCCTGGCAACATATATGGCAGGTTTTAGTAGCAGTGTTGATATGCTTGACAATCTCATTTTGCTGCAAAATAAATTTGCCATTAAAAAAGCTGATAAATCACAATATTCAGTATGTTATTACAATACTCTGAATATCACAAAATTGTTCAAAAATCCCATCCTCTAACAGGAACAATAGGCAGTTTTGTATCTTTAAAAAAACAGTTTAAGGAAGGTGCACGATCTGATATCCCTGTGTTGGTGTTGTTCCGACACCATTGTAACATTGTTGCTGCAACTGACCAGTTACATTGACTGAGCATTCAGTTAGCATTAGCCAAGAAGTAAGAACTAATGTTATTGCAAACGATCACAAGCAAACCAACATGAGTAACCTAAGTTTGTCATGGTCCTTCAGTCCTTCTGGACTTGTTTGTTTGTCTCTGTGTTCGAGAGCGGGACTCATCATGGGTTCTTCTTCACATCTGCGCTAACCAACCACCTGTTCCTCATGATTAGGGACCGGGTCCCTACTGTTTCAATTAAATTGAATTGTTTGCCATTTTTGCACACAATTCCCCTATCGATTCCAGTGGCCTCGAATGACGTCACCAAGTTGCGTAGCGTCATTTACCTGGCAGGAAACATGGTGCCTAAGCGGCACAAACGCTCAAAAGTTTGGTTATAATTTACGAGAACAGATGACAACAGGGCAACTTGCAATACTTGCAAAGTAGATATTTCATTAAAGGGAGGAAACAGAAGATAACCTTAAATGAATGTTGTGTTTTTAATTCCGCTCCGGACTAGTGAATCTCAACCCAGCAGCAGCGGTAACGTTTGCACGTCCTCTCCCGTTAATATGGCAGGTAAATAATCAACTAACAGTGCATATTATGTTAACGCGATCTGCCTTATTACAAAACCTGCCATTACTTTGCATTGAATATTTATTTTATTAATATTTTACACCGTGACACGCTATCAAAGAGCCGTAGGTTGTGGATCTCTTAAGATCTCACTGTTGGGTTTGTAAGGCCATGTTACTCCTAAATTCCTATCTTGTTCAAAGAGAAGATATAAAACAAAGTTCTAAGCTAATCGACCTTAGTGTTCTCCTTTTTAAAAAATAAGAAAATACAATAGGAGAATCGATAAAGAATCGAATTGTTAAACAGAATCGAAAATGGAATCGGAATCGTGAAAATCTTATCAATTCCCATCCCTACCTAACAGTGAACTGAGAAAGTGTAATCTGTAAATACTGGATGTGTGGATTCCCTTCCTCCCTGGAACCCCCTGGAACCATTCCCCCTTTTCCACTCTGATTATTGTAAATATATTTTCTTATTGTAAATAAACGCACTGAACTGTGATCTCTGAGAGTCCTGTGCTTGAGTCCACCTGCCAATTAGCCTTGACAAATTTTGACAAACTGCTCTTGATAATATATTTATTATATTG